TAACCAATAATAAAACTAAATGGGAAAACTCCAGCAACCAAAAAAGGCAGAACTGCTGAGGATTCAGACACTTCTGAACTCATCCTGACATTCATTCATGAATATTTGGATCACCACACCAAGTAAAGGAGTAGTTGAGGTTCTGACTGAAAGCATAAAAACTGGAATAAGCCAGTTTTAGAATGTGTGTGTGCGCGCGCGCGCGCGTGTGTGTGTGCATGTACACGCACAGATGTTTAGCTAAAGCAGGGTATAACTTTTTTTTAAAGGGCCAAATAATAAATATTTAGGTTTTACTGACCATATGATCTCTGTTGCAAGTACTCAACTTTACCACTGTAACCCCAAAGCAGGCAGGACAATATATAAATTAATGAGTGTGGCTTTGTTCCAATAAAACTTTACTTTGGAATTTAATTTGACCAATGGGTTGGGTTTTGTCAACTCCTGACATGAACTAATTTCATATTTCTTCTCCTTCCCATAACCTTACTTAAGACTAATTTAGTCTTTAAGTAACAGAATGTTCTGATGAGATTTTGAATTTGAGAGTAACAGACAGCTCAATGATGGATGATGCGGCTCTCTCCTAGAGGTGCGCACCTGACTGCTGGGACTGACTGGAGGGGCTGTGGGACTCAGAGATACAATGAGGTTGAGAACCTACCTCATCCGTGTAAAGGAAGTTGCTATCTTAGGCAGAAGCTGGAGTTGACTTCCACAATGCAAATCCACAGGGAAGCTCTGGTGTGGAGGAAAAGTGCCTGCGGATGCAGGGTGGCCAGTTTCTCAGGTACTGCGTCCCAGAGTTTTTCATCCTCCACTCTGTGAGTCTGGGGCTGAGACTCCACCCACCTCGTTCTCCTTTACCAGCGGGATGCCTGTTAGGGTTTGCCAGTAGGGGGCACTAGAGGGAGACTGCCGGGCTGGAGGAGGAAGAATGTCCTCCCTGTGTCCTCCTGTTCCTTTCTGCCTTACTGTTCCTGTCAGCGCCATCCTCACAGTGGATTTTTGTCCCAGCACACACAGCAGGTTGCTCTGGTAGCACAGTTGATTCTGGTTTGCATTTCTCCCCAGCATTCACAGAACACCATTACATTGCTGAGAGACCCAACACCAGCCAGTCACTTCCCCCTCCTCAGAGATCTGGGCCTCACCCAGCCGTGCTGTCTTCAAGCTCCTGAGGCAACAGTACAGCTGAGCAGTGAGTTCAAGCTTTGTGGGGCCCTCCTCAAGCTTCTCGACCTTGCCAGTTCCAAACACCCCCACTTATTTCCCCAGTCCTGGGGGAGTAGCTGCCTCCTAAGTGTCTCCTTTCTTAGTGTCTCCTCTGTGATTTCCATCTCCCGACTGATACAGTAAATCCAAGAATGCTATGAGGTTATATCCATCTTTCAGATGAGAAAATAGAGACATAGAATATGTGAATAGCTGGACCAAGGCCACACAACTAGGTTGAGACAGGAACAGGGCTTAACCCAAGTCTTTCTGGTCGCAAAGCCCTTGCTCCTTTGAACACTGCTCAGTTCTGCAAGGTGAAGGCAGATTTAACCAAGAGCTCTCTGGCCTCTTCTAGCCAAGGGACTGGTATTCAAATTAGACTGGGTAAAAGCGAGGTAGGTCATGTAAACGCAAAAGGAAGCAGCTTAGGAGAATTTATGACTCTGGGCCCCGGGGAATTCTACTACAGAGGTCTCAGGGAGCCTGCAGATGTGATGTGAGATACTGTAGGAATCTCCAGAAAACATGGAAAGCTGCTAGAGTAGCGGAGAGAGTTTAGGATTTTTCCCTTTTCTATATATACACATGTTTAGTCTTCACATTAATCTCCAGGAAAATTCTTGGATACTCCTGTGTGTGCTTTTAGCAAAACTGCACAATTCTCGAGAACAGGCGTGTCGAAACCAGCTAAGCCCATTTATGTTCCCACAGTGCTCGGTGATGCCCATGGGTAAATGGTGGCATGAGGAGTGGCAGAGGATGACAGTTGCGGTGTGGAAGCATGCTTGGAAGGGCAGGCAAGGTCCGAGGCAGCGCTGGTGCCTGGCCTGGACCTGCAGGCAGGTCTCAAAAGGAAGAGCAGGGACAAGGCTGAGTCTTCGTCATCGCTCTGCCAGCTGGTGCCTCCTGAGCCTCCTGGGGAAAAGGAATCCAGGGTGGGAGGAGACCAACGAGGCTGAGGCTGGCAGGGATCAGGTCAGGAAGAGGAGGCGGGCCTGGGGATTAGCACTAAAGAGAGGAAGTGGATCTATCAGACCTTGCAGTCAAGTGTTACTTTCTAAGGGAGGAGCTCCAGGTTTCCGTTGCATCCCTGTCTCCAAGTGGTCTGCCTGCCCAAAGGATGGTGATGAAGATGGCGACTGTTGTGGCCATTTGTTGATTTTGCCACCAGCATCCATTCATCCTCCTGCAGTTCCTGGATTCTCTTTGCAGGAACACCCTTTGCTTGCTGGCTACATTCTGTGTGGACATCAGGAAGTTCCACTGTCACCCCCAGTATGGGTGGGTATGTGACACAAGCAGGGCCAACAGATTCTCTTTAAAATATGAATCTTGATCCAAGGGATAAAAGACTAAAAACAATTGTTGCCAAAACAATAGCAGCACCTTGAAAAGACTTAATTAGTTCCTTCTGTTTCGATCCCCAAAGCTGCCTTTGCTCTGCCCCCTCCAGACTTGATTCTTCCATTCCCCCCAATATTCTAAGCTACCCCATTTCCCTCAACAGATTCCTTTTTTTGACAGGGCTTCTCTATTCATTGTTTTGTTTGCTTGCAGCCAAGAAACCCTCATTGACTCTGTAAGCTGTGTTGGTAAGGGAAAATCAAAAGGTCCTCTACAAACTTTAGAGGACCCTCCTACAGAAAATATATATACACATGTTTAGTCTTCACATTAATCTCCAGGAAAATTCTTGGATACTCCTGTGTGTGCTTTTAGCAAAACTGCACAATTCTCGAGAACAGGCGTGTCGAAACCAGCTAAGCCCATTTATGTTCCCACAGTGCTCGGTGATGCCCATGGGTAAATGGTGGCATGAGGAGTGGCAGAGGATGACAGTTGCGGTGTGGAAGCATGCTTGGAAGGGCAGGCAAGGTCCGAGGCAGCGCTGGTGCCTGGCCTGGACCTGCAGGCAGGTCTCAAAAGGAAGAGCAGGGACAAGGCTGAGTCTTCGTCATCGCTCTGCCAGCTGGTGCCTCCTGAGCCTCCTGGGGAAAAGGAATCCAGGGTGGGAGGAGACCAACGAGGCTGAGGCTGGCAGGGATCAGGTCAGGAAGAGGAGGCGGGCCTGGGGATTAGCACTAAAGAGAGGAAGTGGATCTATCAGACCTTGCAGTCAAGTGTTACTTTCTAAGGGAGGAGCTCCAGGTTTCCGTTGCATCCCTGTCTCCAAGTGGTCTGCCTGCCCAAAGGATGGTGATGAAGATGGCGACTGTTGTGGCCATTTGTTGATTTTGCCACCAGCATCCATTCATCCTCCTGCAGTTCCTGGATTCTCTTTGCAGGAACACCCTTTGCTTGCTGGCTACATTCTGTGTGGACATCAGGAAGTTCCACTGTCACCCCCAGTATGGGTGGGTATGTGACACAAGCAGGGCCAACAGATTCTCTTTAAAATATGAATCTTGATCCAAGGGATAAAAGACTAAAAACAATTGTTGCCAAAACAATAGCAGCACCTTGAAAAGACTTAATTAGTTCCTTCTGTTTCGATCCCCAAAGCTGCCTTTGCTCTGCCCCCTCCAGACTTGATTCTTCCATTCCCCCCAATATTCTAAGCTACCCCATTTCCCTCAACAGATTCCTTTTTTTGACAGGGCTTCTCTATTCATTGTTTTGTTTGCTTGCAGCCAAGAAACCCTCATTGACTCTGTAAGCTGTGTTGGTAAGGGAAAATCAAAAGGTCCTCTACAAACTTTAGAGGACCCTCCTACAGAAAAAAAGACAATGGTCTTGTTCTGTGTTGTTTTTGGTTGTATATATCCACAGGAAAGTGGCAGAGAAGCAGAATGTAACTTCTGTGCATTCATCAGAAACTGAGTTCATTTTGTTCACCACTAGATCTGAAGTGCCCAACACCATGTCTGAACCAGAGTAGGTGAAAAAAAAATACCAGTTGTATGAATAAATGGAAGTAGACAAAGAACTTTGTAATGGTTAGTTTAATAATAATAATTGATACATCATGAAGTAGTGAGCTCCTTGTCACTGCAGAGACTCAAATAGAGCCTAGATCTCTTAGGATGAAAAAAGAGAGAGGGAGAGATTCCTGCATTGAGTGGGTGGTGTCTAAAAAGCATTCTATTCGGGCTTTGTAATCCCCTAATTATTTTTTATTTGCTCTTAGGCTACATATTTTAAAGTAAAAATAGAGCACCATGTGCATTAAAATAACCTATAGAGCACAGACTAGACGGTTTAAACAGAAGGTATATGACAACTTTTCAGTGTTAGGAGAGCATTTCTTCACATGCCCACAAAAAAAGCTGTACCAAGAGATATAAAACATTGCTGGACTTGTTTGCAATGACCTACACCTGATCTATTTTTAGTCTCAAGGAAAGTGAAAGAATAAGAAATGGATAGTTCAGTTGCCATGGTTATTCCCATCCACCAGCTCATCTTGCCACCCATTTACCATCATTTCCAGCAGTCCAGGTTCCTGGAACAGTATCTTAGCCTGCCTGTAACTGAGGCTCCTTATTAAATGGGTTCCCCTGGTGTCACATTCACCTGGCTCCTTTTCACAGCTTCCCTTCATCTCACCAGTCTTCAGCATGGTTAGGGAATGGAAATACCCAGCCTAAGGCTACCAGGATTTTTCAGAGCAGGCAAATCTGAACTTGGTTGTGGCTACTTAGGGATCTGAATGGTTCATGTGTCCCCGAACCTGGAGGAGACATCCTTCCATTATATCTACAGGGCAAAAAGCCATTGAGATTTTGGGCTGCTTTTTCTCTAAATGGGTTTCACTTATTTTATAAGCCACACACCTTGACAGTGCAGGCAGGTGGAATTTAAGAAAACGAGGGTGGAAAATATGCGACCTTGGAAACTAAGCTAGACAGCTGTCTTGGTTGCTTCAGAATTCTTCAGTAGCTAACAAAGACAGTATCTCAACTTTTGCTAGAAGCCCATTAGAATGGAAAGAATCCATTTGGGGCCTCTTAAGAGATACTTAAGAGGGGATTTATGCCCCCTTTGTAAATTCCGGTCTGTGTTATGGAAATTTGACTTTGTATAGACTCAAAAAAATTTTAAGGTACTGTGGGTGCCACACATCTACACATCTAACGCTAGGTGGCAACCTTGCCTCTTGTGCCACCAGCCAAAGCCGTGGTATAAAATCATAATTAAGGAAATAAACCATCAAATCCCAGGCTTCCTTTGCCAGTTTTATTTTAATATTGGCATCCAGATATAACAAACAGCGAAGCCCATCCTTAAAGGCAGGCCCAAATTTGGGGAGCATTAAATGTGTACAGATTCGATTTTTAGCAGCATTTACCTGCACCCCTGCAGCCTCACAATTGTTAGAATTCCCTTGCCTTCCTGGTGTGGATTAAAGACTTGTTCCAGGTATGGGGGATTCTGTGGTGGACAAGAGACACTTTCTTCTGTGGAACTCGCACTGAAGTGCTAGAGGTAGACACTGAACAAGTAAAGGAAAATAATTTTAGATAGTAACTGTAGTAGAACAATGTCTGCATAATGTAATAGCAACTAGGCATGAGGGGTAAGGGCTGGTTGTGAGAAAAGGCCTCAGAGGAGCTTTTATGTGACCCAAAGCCCAAATGAGGCTTTGTGGTATTAAAGAAATAGAAAGAAGCTAGGGTGGCTGGAGCATGGGGGGAAGCAGGAAGAGCAGGACACGGGGCTGGAAGACAGGCAGGACTCAGACCACAGAAGGTCAGCTGGCCGAGGAAGGAGACAGGGTTGTACTCCAAGCCAGGGAGGAGGCACGGGAGGATGGGTTAGAAGGTGAAGGGGCCTGAGTTCACCCCCACAATTTACACTATTGGGGGTATCTCAGCTTCTTCACAGCCCTCACAGTGGACTGCCCCTTAGGATAGCAGATTTATTTGACATGGCTCCCACCCAAGGACCTCCCAGCCAAGAACGGACAAGCACACCCCCATGAAGGCATCCTTTTGAGTGTGGATCCCTGCACAGAAAAGGCATGAGCAGAGAGAAAAATCAATTTCTGGAAACACTAAACACTGTGGAAAACATTCATTTCCCACTGAGAAAGTATTTAAACCCACAAACCTCCTGTATACCAGGAAGACAAACAAAAGAGGTAGAATTTTCCCATCATGATAGGCACAGATCAAATTCAGGCTCAAGGACACCGGAGTTCTGCCTGGCTCTCCTTGGCTGGCACCTAACAATGAAGCTTTATGATAAATAATGATGGCAACAAATTGCCAGGAGATGATCTGTCCAGTGCACTACCTGGGGCATTTTAGTCAGAAGGCAAATATTCTAACAGAAATACAGTCTTGCTCAGCTAGTCCCAAGACTGGTCTTTCAAGACAGCCACACTCAGGCCTGTTTATGCGCTCCTCTGCCTGCTTTGGCTCGTGGCATGGCACTGAGCAGCATCCCAAGAAGCTGAGGGAAGCAGCAGGCAGGAGTAGGCTTTCCCTCCTGGCCCCACAAAACAAGGACAAAGGCGCAGGACTGCATTTTCCTGCCAACTGTGTGTGTACATGTACGCTCACATGGAGGTAAGCTGCTCTTTCCTGACTTTTTCTGCCCCTTTTGAGGTTTGCTGTGCATCACTGTCAAGAATATAAATGAGAAACTCATCCAGTGGAATTTGCATCCAAATGGAGAGGACATGCCCCATTGAAAGGGGACTCTGGCTCCAGCCAAATGTTTCCGTGCAAGAATGTGGAGCCTGATGTTACTAGATCTCTTGATTTTTCTAGAGAAACTGGAATCCACATTTCGATGTGACATCTCCTGCTTTTTTGAAATGTTTGTAACTGATGCAATTTTTTAAAATTCCTTAATGGTGAAATAACTCATGTATGGACCTTATGTGGCCTGTGGGCTACCTGTTTATAAACTCTGCTTTGGTCATTTATTTTCCAATTTTTATTATGAAAATTTCAAATGTGTAGATAAGTTGAAATAATTTTACAGTGGGTGTCTTTGTATACAGGTCACCTAGATTCTACTGGTTTTATCACATATCTATTCAGTTACATATTTATCTGATTTTTTATTGAGGTACATACAATAAAAATGCAGAAATCTTAATATAGAGCTAGATGAATTTTGACATGTGTATGCACTCATGTAACCATCACCCAGATCAAGATAGCAAATATCTCACTAATTTTTCCCCTTCACCTATTTCACCCATTCCCCCATCCCCTTCCCTATGGCAACTACCTGTCTGTTATCTGTGTCTATGAGTCTATTTTGTGTTTTAGATTCCACATATAAGTGAAATCATACAGCATTTACCTTTCTTTGTCCTATTTCACTTCACATAATACCCTCTAGATCCATCTACATTGTTGCAAATGTCAGGATTGCATTTTTTTCATGGCAGAGTAATATTCCATTGTATACATGTACCAGGTCTTTATCCATTCATCTATTGGACACTTAGACTGCTTCTGTATCTTGGCTATTGTAAATAAGGCTGAATAAACAAAGAAGTGCATATCTTTTTTTCAAACTAGTGATTTTATTTTCTTTGTTAAGTATCCAGAAGTGGAATTACTCAATCACATGGTATTTCTATTTTCAGTTTTTTGAGAAACCGCCTTATTGTTTTCTTTAATGGCTGCACCATTTTACATTCCCACCAACAACACAAAGGGGTCCCTCGTCTCCACATCCTTGTTATTTCTTGTCTTATTGCTATAAGCTACTCTGACTGGTGTGAGGTGATGTCTCATGTTGGTTTTGATTTGCATTTCCCTAATGGTTAGTGATGCTGAGTATCTTTTCATGTATCTGTTGGCCATCTGTATGTCTTCTTGGGAAAAATGTCTATTCAGGTCCTCTGCCCATTTTTAAATCACATTATTTGTCTTTTTGGTGTTGAGTTGTAAGAGTTCTTTATATATTTTGTATGTTAGCAGAGCAGATATATCATTTTCAAATATATTCTCCCATATAACAGATTGTCTTTTTGTTTTGTTAATGGTTTCCTTTGCTGTGCTGAAGTTTTTGGTTTGATGTAGTGCCATTTGTTTATTTTTGCTTTTGTTTCCCTTGTTTGGGGAGACATATCCAGAAAAAAATTACTAATGCTAGTGTTCAAGAGTATACTGTCTGTTTTCTTCTAGGAGTTGTATGGTTTCAGGTCTTATATTAGATCAAGATGAACTAAAAACCATCTTGACTTTATTATTGTGTATGGCATAAGACAGTGATCCAGTTTTATTCTTTTGCATGTAGCTGCCCAGTTTCCCCAGCCTCATTTATTGAGGAGATGTCTTTTCCCCATTGTATATTCTTGCCTCCTTTGTCATATAGTGTCATATATGTGTGGGTTTATTTCTGGGCTTTCTATTCTGTTACATTGGTCCATGTATCTGTTCTGTGTTAGTACCATACTGTTTTGATTACTGTAGCTTGATAGTATAGTTTGACATCAGGGAGTATGATGCCTCAGCTTTTCTCCTCTTTTCAAGATTGCTTTATCTGTTTGGGTTGTTTGGTGGTTCCATACAAATTTTAGGGTTTGTGCTCTAGTTCTGTGAAAAATGCCTTTGGTATTTTGATAGAGATTGCACTGAATCTGTAGAGTGCTTTGGGCAATATGAACATCTTAACAATATTTATTATTCCTATCTGTAAGCATGGGATATCTTCCATTTATTTGTGTCTTCTTCAATTTCTTTCATCATCAATTATTCATTTTAATTAATTTTAACAGTATGGAAATTTGAATCAGCAGGAAACAGGAGAGGACATAGATAAGTCTTATAGAGGTGAGTCTAGCCTATTAACTCATTTCTTAAATTTCAGCCTCGGAGAGGGGGATATGAGGAATTGTTAATTGATCTTAAAGTTGCAGCTATGCAAAATGATTAAATTCTAGAGATCTACTGTACATTGTATCTATATAGCAGTACTGTATTGTATACTTCAAAATCTGTTAAGAGGATAGATATCAGGTTAAATGTTCTTACCATAATAAAATGAGTAATACTAATAAATTGTTTTAAAATTCAACCCCTTTCTTTTGTCCTGTTTTGTATTTGGCCATGATTTTATAATGGACCTTAGGAGTTAGAGACTTCAAAGCCCCAGTAAGCCAGGCCAGCACTAGGCAGATCCAATGTGCCTCTAAAGCAACAGCCCAGGATGTGAGAGGCCCTGGGTGTTGGAGGGGTCTGTGTATGAGAGAGCACACATTCTCTCCCATTTCCCTGGGCACAGTCAGAACCTCAGAGCTGAGGCAGGGCCATGGGCCGTGGATTACCTTTCACTGCCCTCAGTGTAGCCAGAAAGGGCCAGGCACAGGCCCCCTCTCTCAGTGGTGATCCCTACAGGAGGAAAGTACAGGTAGAGCAGCATTCACTCTGAGTCTGTGTGTGCAGAGATTTTCTGCACGTGGGATGCTCACTCTGTGTGGTAGGTTAGAGTTGAAAGCCTTAGCTATGAAACTGATTCTTTTAATGAAGTCCCATGAGACTTGATGCAGAACCCTTTACAGAGGTTGGAAATGGCCTTTCTCAGGGTTCCCACACATGGACTGGGACCCAGAGAAGGTGTTTAAATCCTGACAGCAGCTCTCATGTTGGCTTACCTGGAGAGACAGATCGGCAGCCTGCTGATGTCCTTGTGGTGTCTTAGGAGCACCCAGGGACAGAGGAGGAGAGAAAGCTTTTATACCTACTACTGTTCTCCCACTGCTTTCCAATGAGCTTAAAGAAAATTACATTCCCTGAGTGGTAGCAGCGTATCATTAAGGGATGGTAATCACCATGGTAACCAAGGACAGTCTGCTACAAGCAAAGGGGAGAGGAAAGAAAGGCATCAGGCCAGAGTTTGCTACACCCATATTAGCTCAAAATGCCTGGGCTTTTAAGAACTGTGGAAAAGGAGTATGTTTTCTAGACTGACAGCTGGACCAAATTTTAGAATCATTAAATTGTAAACATGGGAGAAGCTTTATGGAATGACCAAAGGCTGAAACTAAACGCCTTCAGGATCAGCTGGTCAGGTAAATAATCAAGTCCGTGACACTGTGGGGGAGAGAGTCTGAAAAGCTGAGGCCAGGCACTGAGAGAGGGGGCGAGAGCTTCTGCAGCTGTGGCTAATTGTAGCAATGAGAGCCAACCCTGTTTAGTCAGATGGTGCAATTTTTCAAAAGAAGCTGAGAATGCAGATTTTTATGAGAAGTATCCCCATTTTAGCTACTAACTAAACCTAATTTTAAGCAGGTCAAATAAAACACATCTGTAGAAACCACCAATAAAACAAAAAGGCAACCTACTATATGGGAGAATATATTTGCAAATGATGTATTTGCTAAGAGGCTAATATCTAAAATATATGAAGAACTTGTACAACTCTAACCAAAAACAAATAATCTGATTTAAAAAGAGCAGAGGACCTGAATAGACATTTTTCCAAAGAAGACGTACATGAAAAGATGCTCAGCATCACTAACCATTAGGGAATGCAAATCAAAACCAACATGAGACATCACCTCACACCAGTCAGAGTAGCTAATATCAATAAGACAAGAAATAACAAGGATGTGGAGAAAAGGGACCCCTTTGAGTTGTTGGTGGGAATGTAAAATGGTGCAGCCATTATAGAAAACAGTATGGCAGTTTCTCAAAAAACTGAAAATAGAAATACCATATGATTGAGTAATTCCACTTCTGGATACTTACCCAAAGAAAATAAAATCACTAACTTGAACAAATATATGCACCTCTATGCTTATTCAGCATTATTTATAATAGCCAAGATATGGAAGCAATCTAAGTGTCCATCAATACATGAATAGATAAAGAAGATCTGGTACCTATATGCAGTGAAATATTACTCTGCCATAAAAAAGAATGAAATCTTGCTCTTTGTGACAACATAGATGAACCTAGGGGGTATTATGTGAAGCAAAGTAGGTCAGACAGAGAAAGACAAACTACCATATGATTTCATTTATATGTAGAATCTAAAACATAAATGAACAAACAAAACAGAAATAGACTCATAAACGCAGAGAGATTGGTGGTTGCCACAGGGGAATGAGGGGAGGAAATGGGTGAAATAGGTGAAGGGAATGGGGTACTAACTTCCAATTATAACATAAATAAGTCAGAGGGATAAAAGGTACAGCATAAGAAATATAGTCTAATAACTTTATATGGTGACAGTAACTACACTTACCTTGGTGAGCATTTCATAATGTACATAACCTTCAAATCACCATGTTGCACACCTGAAACTAACATCATATTGTATGTCAACTATTCATGTTAACTATTCTTCAATAAAAAAAACTTTAAACACATCTGTAAATCCCAATTTACATTTGATTTAGTGCATGCACTCACTCCTTTTCTTAAACCTGAGGACACTGAGGTCCAGAAAATGTGTTACATGTGCAGGTCACACAGTCAGTGAGCAAGTCAGGCCTCTGTGATCTGGACACCCAGTATGGTACTCCTTTCCTTCTAAAATGTTGTGGTGACCAGCCAATTTAGCTGCAGGGGCCTCATTTCCACTTTAATTGGTATATAAA